GTTGGCTGAGTGCTTTGATCCGAGCAGGTGTCAGGTGGAAAACGTGGTTGCTGCAGCTCCTGGCTTTTGGCTTAGGGACAAAGTGGTCCAGCGACGGGAGTATGATCACCTCAGTGCGATGACGTTCCACTCCCGGCACAAGTCCTCCTTGGCCAGGGCGTGTGTTCCTTTCTGTTTCGTTGTCTTTGCTGATCTTTTGTTGGAGAAAACAAGAAATATCGGCCTGTAGATTTCTTGCGATATCTTTGGGTTTGGTGTCAGTTTAGAGTGAGGTTTTTCTTTTTTTTTTTTTCAATATTTAGAGAGTGAGCGTGTTCTTCCATCCATTGGTTGCCCAGGTGGCTGCTATGGGCAGAGCTAAGCCAAGCCAGGTCTCCCACATGGGTACCAGGGGCCTCAACACTTGGGCCATCCTCTGCTGCTTTCCCCAGGCCGTTAGCAGGGAGCTGGGTCAGAAGTGGAGCAGCCGGGACGCGAACCGGTGCCCATGTGGAATGCTGATGCTGCAGACAGTGGCTTAACCCTCTGCACAGTGCCGGCACCTGGGCTAGATTTGTGTTAATTTATCCTTTATGTGGTTCATTGAGGGGTGTGTGTGTGTGTGTGTGTGTGTGTGTGTTTAAAGATTTTACTTCCGTATTTGAGAGGCAGAGTTAGATGGAGACAAAGGTCATCCATCTTCTGGTTTACTCCCCAAATGGCCGCAGTGGGTGGAGGCTGGCCAATCTGAAGCCAGGAGCTTCTGGGTGCAGGGGTCTAAGCACTTGGGCCATCTTACACTGTCTTCACAGGCAATTAGCAGAGCTGGATTGGAAGAGGAGCAACCGGGACCCGAACCAGCAGCCACATGGGCAGAGGCTTAGCCCACTGCACCACAGCATCAAACCCCAGGGTGTGTGTTTCTAAGGTTGACAGGAGGAGACAGATATCGTCTGTCTGCTAGTTCATTCCCCAAATGGCTGCCAATAACCAGGGCTGGACCAAGCCAAAGCCAAAAGCCAGGAACTCTGTCTGGGTCTCCCACACGGGTGGCAGGGGCCCAAGCACTTAGAAGCTGGATCCACAGTGGAGTAGCCAAGGCTTGAACCGGCACTCCGATCCGGGCTGCTGGCTTCGTGAGCAGCAGCTTAACTTGCTGAACCACAGAGCTGGCCCCTTAGCTGCTTACATAAGTTCACTATCTTTGACATTTCTGTTTTTTATTAAAACCATCTGGTAGATTTTAAATCTTCTATTTTTCAACTCTAAAATTTTTATTTTGTTCCCCTTTATGCTTCCTGATAATTTCTCTTTATTTTTTTTTTTTATTTTTGACAGGCAGAATGGACAGTGAGAGAGACAAAGAGAAAGGTCTTCCTTTTACCGTTGGTTCACCCTCCAATGGCCGCCGCGGCTGGCGCACCGCGCTGATCCAAAGGCAGGAGCCAGGTGCTTCTCCTGGTCTCCCATGGGGTACAGGGCCCAAGCACCTGGGCCATCCTCCACTGCACTCCCTGGCCACAGCAGAGAGCTGGCCTGGAAGAGGGGCAACCGGGACAGAATCCGGCGCCCTGACTGGGACTAGAACCCCGTGTGCCGGCACTGCAAGGCGGAGGATTAGCCTAGTGAGCCGCGGCGCCGGCCTCTCTTTTCTTAAAATCTTTTTTTTTTTTTTTTTTTTTTTTTTTTTTTTTTTAAATTTGAAAGGCAGAGTTGCAGAGGCAGAGAAGGTCTCCCATCCACTGGTTCACTCCCCAACTGGCCGCAATGGCAGGAGCTTCTTCTAGGTCTCCTGTACGGGTGCAGGGGCCCAAGGACTTGGGCCATCTGCTGCTGCTTTCCCAGGCCACAGCAGAGAGCTGGATTAGAAGTGGAGCAACCGGGACTAGAACCAGCGTCCATATGGGAAGCCGGCACTGTAAGTGGCGGCTTTTCCCACTGGCACAATGCCGGCTCCAATTTCTGTCTTACCATTCATCGTAAGAATGTTCAGGGACCAGCACTGTGGTGCAGTGGGCCAAGCCACTGCCTGCAATGTCAGCATCCCATATTGGATCACCAGTTCAAGTCCCAGCTGCTCCACTTCCCACCCCGCTCCCTGCTGATGCACCCAGGAGGCCTGGGACCCTGCCCAGATGAAGTTCTGGTCTCCTGGCTTGGGCCTGATCCAGCCCTGGGTGTTGCGGCCATTTGGGGAGTGAACCAGTAGATGGAAGATCTCCTTTTGTCTCTCCCTCTCTCTGCCACTCTGCCTTTAAATAAACAACACGAGTCTTTAAAAAACTGGATTGGATGTTTAGCCCGTGTCCCGCATCGGAGTACCTGGGTTCAAGTCCCAGACTGGCCCCTGACCCCAGCTCTCCTGATGCAGATCCTAGGAGGCAGTGGTGCTCACCCAAGTGACTGGGTTCCTGCCACACGTGTGGGGGACCTGGATCGTGCCCGCCTCCTGGCTCCAGCCCCAGGCCAACCCCAGCCACTGTGGGCCTTTAGGAAGTGAATCAGCGGATGTGAACTCTTGTTTTCTCTACTTCTTGGAAAAAAATAAAATTCAACTTTCTTTGGTCCTCTCTTCCAAGGTGACAAGAAAGAAGGAGGATGGCGGTGCCCGGGAGGCTGTGGCTGTGTGCGGCCTGCTGGCTGCCTGAGTGTCCCACGCGTGTCCAAGGGCAAGGCCAGAATGGAGGCCACGCTGCCAGGGACACTCTGGAAGTGAGTGTTCATGCCTGTGCACCCGCCACACCGTGCTCCGTGCAGCTCTGTGGTCGAGTGCGCGGTGCCATTCATGGCAAGGCATCGGGATGGCACCTCTGAAAGCCGCAGGAGCAGACCTGCTTGAGAGCTGGGGCTGCCCCACAACTCCCTCCCTGTTCTGGGAAGGAGCTGCGTCCACGAGGCAGCAGAAGAGCTATTCCCTGGAAAACCAAGCAGGCCGACACTTAAAGGGCGCGGGCCAGCACTGCCCGGAGGCAGCTCGGCACCGTGTCTTCTCCCACCCAGTGGAGGGTTTCCTCCTTTCACCCACGGGGGTTTGGGGTTCTATCCTGGCTCCCGGGAGTACAACGCAAAGGCTCCAAGCCAGGTCTCAACCCTGCGTAGGCGGCTGGCTGTTTAAGCTGGAGATGAACTGGTTTGCAGTGTCAGGTCGGGCCTGTGGCAACAGGGACATCTTGGATCAGACCCCTCGGGTTCCCCATGGAACTTCCAGGGTCACGTGTTCCTTCTCTGGGCCCTTGGCCACTTTCAGTGACCTCTGGGGCCCCTTCCAAGGCCTCTAACCAGGAACCAGGGGCTTCCGGTTCCCACACTGTGCTTCCTGCCACTGTGGCCGGGGCCCCATGCAGGGCAGAGGGAGACAGCAGGAGCGCCGCCCCTGTGTTCCTGGGGCCATGGGTGGTGGCAGGGTCCCCTAGGTCTCTGGTGCCTGCTCGGCTGACATCCATGAGGAGGGGGCTTCCCCCAAGCTGACCTCCTCCCTGCTGCTGGTGTGGCGTCTCCTGGGGCATTTCTGACCACAGCAGGTGCCCTCCCTGGGCTCCAGGCAGTGAGGAGGCGGTAACTCGCCCGTCTCATCTCTCTGCTGCCCCTGCTCAGCCCCAGGCTCCCTGCATCGTGCAGGGTGGATGTGTGGCCTGTGGGGGACGGTCCCCCACCCTCCCAAGACGTCTGGACCCACGGCCCGTCCCCTCGCTCACTCCCAGGGCCTCGCTGACACCCGCATGCCTCACATTCCACTGGACAGGGGCCCAGGGCAGAACTCTGCTTGAACAGCAAACTCGTCCAACGATCAGAGAGGCGTCGGGCTGGGGCCACGGCTCAGAGACCCGGCCTTGCCCCGCCCCGCCCCGCTGACCCCGCTCTGGGCTCCTCTTGCCTTCTCCATGCCCTGCTCTGTCGAAGCAAGGCGCCGGGGCTCCCCAGTGCGGCAGCTCCTGCTGCACACGGCCTGGGCCCAGTGGCCCCCACCCGGGCGCCGGCTTCTCCTGCCTCAGCACAGCAGAGTGACGTGGCCAACCGCAGGCCACACTGGGCTCCTTGGGGCTCATCCTGGCTGAGCCTTGCATTCTGCTCTTCCCACTGCCCCTCCCCTACATGCCCATCCCGCGGGGCTGCTTCTACGCCAGACCTGCCAGCCGCCAGCTCTGCCCCACTGCCAAGGAGCTATGTGTCTGGGGAGTCGATTCCAGCCGTGACCAAGGGACAAAACGCCAGTTCTCCCAGCCCTGCCTGTTGGTGCTCCTGTGCCAGCGTGGGGGTCCCCAGGTAGCAGCCCTCCCCTGGGGGCTTACACGCTCCTGCCTAAGTCTGCCCCACCCCTCCTGTTTTCACAAGCTGGCTGGGGTGTGGCAGGTGGGGCTCCCACTGAGCTGTCTGGCGACTGGGACCAGTGACTGACTCCTGTGCCCAGGAGGTGGGGAACCCTGGGGGGGCCGTCTGGGGTGACTTTGAAGGTGGGGGGAAGGCCTGGCTCAGGCAAGGGCCGGGGAGGGGAGCGAGGCAAATGAGCACCAGCTGACTCCTGCCGCGGCTGCAGCAGAGGGCGGGGCGAGGAGGCGTGTGTGCGCGCACCCCTAACACACGTGCTGCAGCTGCAGCCTGTGTGCTGACATGTGCATGTGGGCTGTGACCACACAGACCTACACGTGTGCACACGTGGCCTCCACACCGACCAGGTGGTGCCTGACTCAGGCTTGTCCAGGGGTTAGGACTGAAAGGAGCTGTGCTGGCTTCTGTGCCTCTGCCAAGTGGGGAGGGCCGAGGGGGCCCCGAGGAGTCCTGACCTCGTGAAGCCTCCCCTGGGCGCCCCACCCCCAGGCCTGACTTCTGTCCAGCCCTGCCCCGCAGCCCCACCCAGCCCGAGCTCTGCTATCGGCCGGTTAGGGTTAGGGATGCCTCTGGAGCCCAGGCTGGGCTATTTTCAGATCAGCTCTTAGGCCTGCCCCCACCCAGCGGCCCTGCTACTGGCCACCTGCTGCCGCCTGTCCCTTCTGGAATGCTGATTGGCAGTTGGCTGGGGTGGGGGCTGGGGCTGGACCGTTATAAGTGGGAGGTGCTGGCCAGGTGCTGTCCTGGTCCACAGCCCCCATCTCCGCTGCCACCATGGCCACCCACCGCCTGGTGATGGTCCGCCACGGGGAGAGCACCTGGAACCAGGAGAACCGGTTCTGCGGCTGGTTCGATGCAGAGCTGAGCGAGAAGGGGGCCGAGGAGGCCAAGCGGGGGGCGGTTGCCATCAAGGACGCCAAGATGGAGTTTGACATCTGCTACACGTCAGTGCTGAAGCGGGCCATCCGCACCCTCTGGACTATCCTGGACGGCACGGACCAGATGTGGCTGCCCGTGGTGCGCACCTGGCGCCTCAACGAGCGGCACTACGGGGGCCTCACCGGCCTCAACAAGGCCGAGACGGCGGCCAAGCACGGGGAGGAGCAGGTCAAGATCTGGCGCCGCTCCTTCGACATCCCGCCGCCCCCCATGGACGAGAAGCACCCCTACTACACCTCCATCAGCAAGGTGAGCCCTGGGAGGCCGGGCGCAGAGCTGGGTGGGGCCGGGGGTCCAGGGAGGGAACAGCCGTGTCCCCTGCCCTCCAGGAGCGGCGGTACGCGGGGCTGAAGCCGGGCGAGCTGCCCACCTGCGAGAGCCTCAAGGACACCATCGCCCGGGCCCTGCCCTTCTGGAACGAGGAGATCGCCCCGCAGATCAAGGCCGGCAAGCGCGTGCTCATCGCCGCGCACGGCAACAGCCTGCGTGGCATCGTCAAACACCTGGAAGGTGAGGCCGCTCCCCGGGGCGGGGCGGGGCTGGTGCTGAGTTCCCGCCACACAGGGGTTTCAGACAACTGGGTGGGGGGGCTCACGAGAGAACTGTGACCTTCACTTTCTGTGGGTAACATTCTTAAGGCTGTGGCTGGAGAGCTGCCCAGCCCTGACCAGGCTGCTGCCCCTCCCCGAGCAGGGCCCACCAGGGGAGGGGCAGAGGCTTCAGGTGGCCTCCTGCCAAGGACACCCAGCCAGGCGGCCCCAGGCCCGGCCCCGCTCCCTGCTCCCTGTGCTCTCCAAGCAGAGTGCAGTCCCTCAAGTCCTCCCTGGTCCTCCCACCCTCCCTTCTGTGGGCCTCTCCCAGCAGGGTCAGGGAGACGGCGGCACAGCGACAGGGTGACCAGGCATCAGTGCGAGGGGTGTACGGCTCCCCAGGGAACACTCTGGACCCTCCCACCGGCAGAGGGTGGGGTGGCACCAGCAGCAAAGGTCGAGCTGCTATTCCCGGCGCCGGGGGCTGCGGGTTGGGTTTCTCCACCCAGCACGGCCGCTCCCCTGTGCCCGCTGCTCACGCACGCTCTGCCCAGGGAGTCGCACACTCAGAGCCCTCTAGAAAGCAGACTGCCTTTCCTGGCTCCTGGCTCCGGTCTGGCCAGCCCGGCAGGGCCTCCTCAGGTCTTGGCCCCTGGCAGAGGGGGTGAGGAGCAGGCCTGGGTTTTACCACTGGGCTATTTCTGTGGGCTGCTGGCCTAGCTTGGTCCCGCCTTGACCTTTAGGCGCAGTTCTGTGGGGTTGGTGCCAGGCAGTCTGGCTGCGTGGCCTAACAAGGCTCTGGTCTGCTGCATGGACAGGGTGGGCGCAAGGGGGCTCACAGATATCGTTCCCTGGTTCAGGGATGTCGGACCAGGCCATCATGGAGCTGAATCTGCCCACTGGGATCCCCATTGTCTACGAGCTGGACCAGGCGCTGAAGCCCACCAAGCCCATGAGGTTCCTGGGAGATGAGGAGACGGTGCGGAAGGCCATGGAGGCTGTGGCTGCCCAGGGCAAGGCCAAGTGAGGGTGGGCACTGGCAATAAAGGAGTGTCCTCCCCCTGCGGCCACGTGTGACGGGATCTTGGCCTGCCTAGTCAGTCCCTTAGCTGTGGGCAACCCTGGGAAATCAGGGGCAGCCCGTTACCAGGGGTGGAGCACTGTCAAGCCACGTAGCACCCAGGAAGCTGCACTCTTGCGCAAACCCCTAGGTGCCCCTCAAGAGCCACTGGGGGACACACCCTGGACTCGGGCTGCACTGGCCACAGCGGGGAGAGCAGCCCTCCGCTCCACCACGCCTGCCACGCCTCCCCTTGCGGGGCTGGCTCCCCGAGCCCCAGCTCCCAGGCACAGGCGTGCGCAAGGGGGCTCCCGAAGCAGGAGCCCCCGGACTCCTGGAGCCTGCACAGCTGGGAGGTGAGGCTGGGAGGTGAGCCCGAAGCTGCCTTCGTTCCCCACACGCTCTGCCTTGGGGCAGACGCTGGCTCTCCCAGAGCCATGGACACGGACACGCAGGACTCCAGCTTGTCACATCGCGTTTATGCTCTCCTAGGTGGCTGACCACTGGTCCCAGAGGCCCGAGGGCGCAACACACACACACACACACACACAAGCACACACCTGGGAGGCGCTTCCCCAGGGGGCACTCGGATCAGAGCTGGGAATCTGGATCAAACTGGTGATTCTGAGATCTGTTCTTCAGGCAGGGACAGGCTGGGAGAAAGCGCAGGCCAGCACGGCACTCGGGCAGCCAGAGTCGGCTGAGGCACGCACTGGGGTGGGCTGCAGGAAGTCTCCTCCCTGTCAGCGCCCCCACCATCCACTCTGACTTTGGTCACAGACTCAAGTTCACTGCTCCCAAGGGTCAACCGAAACGGCTACAGCCGCGTTCCCTTGGGACCCAGAGAAAGAAAAAAGGCAAAGGCGGCCCCCAGGGGCCCCAGCTCCCCCACGCTGCCGGGGGCTGGCCCCAGGCAGGACTCAGGGAGTCACCAGGTTATTGCTGCATCTGGGGTGACAGAGGGAGCCCCAGGGCCTGGTCCTCCTCGGGCCCCACCCGGCAGGAAGGAAGCCGCGTCTGGGTAGGGTGGGGGGACAGGCTCAGCCTCACTAAATGAGCTCCACGTAGTTGGCGGGGAACATGCCGAAGCGGCCGTCGGGCCCGTAGCCCCGCCACCAGCCTTCGTCGATCACCTCGATGCCTGTGATCAGGTTCTCGGGGTCAAAGGAGATCTCTGTGTCGTCCGCTGCAAAGAGGGCAGAGCCCGGGGCTGCGCTGGGGGCTCTGGACCCCGGGCCCTTGCTACCCCTCCCCTGAGCACAGGGGTCGTCGCTGCTGGCGGGCACAGCTCCCGCCAGGGCCCGGCATGGACCCCTGCACAGCCAGCGTCTCGGCCAGCCCTCCAGGCGCCGCAAGTACGCTGCCTGGGATCCCTGGGGATGGGCTGACGCTCCAGAGGGGATCCGCCCCAAGCCAGCCTCCCACTCCGTCTCCTCTTCCTGAGCCCCCTGTCCCCCAGCTGGGAGCCTTACCTGCCTGGTAGTCGTACAGGGCCCGGGCGCACAGCCCGTGCCCGCTGAGGTCCTGGCCCTGCACGTAGTGTTCAACAGGCTCAGAGCCAGCTCCTGGCTGCTGCATCTGCAGGGGGAGTGCGCACGATGCGGCCCCGCTCAGTCCCCGCCCTGCCCCGGGCGGCTCAGGTCAAGCCCCGCAGCGTGGCCATCAGCCCGAGGTACAGAGACAAAGGCCCAGCGGGACCCGCACGGGGCGCTGGCCCCCAACGGGTGCTTAGACCCTGCAGTGTGTGCGCCGTGGCAAACCCAGGCACCTGCGGCCCCTTCATGCCCCCCCCGCCCCCGCAGGAACCTACCACTGGGGGCTCCTCATAGAGGACCTCTGGCTGCGGGGGTTCCTCATACACAGCCTCCTCTTCCGCCTGCACCAGGCTCGGGGGCGCGTGGGGTGCTGGCTCCTCCCGGAGCTCTGTGAAGGGACACAGCAGGCCTGACCCCTCTCCTGTGCCCACCCCGTGCACCCCATCAGCCCCCACGGGGCCCAGGCGCTGACGGAGGCCTTGCCTGCCGCCGGCTGTGAGGCCGCAGGGGCCGGCTGTCTGGTGAAGGGGCTCTCTGGCTGGGCGAGCTGCTTCTGCAGGAAGGGGCTCTTCAGCTTGCCTGCAAACCCCAGCAAACGCACGCGTCAGAAGCAGTCCCTGGTGTGTAGACACGCACGTATCACGCACCACACACAGCACACACACGCATGCACACACCACGCACACACACGCATGCACACACCACACACATGCACATGCATGCACACACCACACACGCACGCACACACCACACGCATGCACACACCACGCGCACACACACAGCACACACACCACACACAGCACACACACACATGCACACACCACACACATGCACACAGCACACGCACCACACACAGCACACACACACATGCACACACCACACACACACCACACACATGCACACAGCACACACCACACGCACACACACATCACACACAGCACACACACGCACCACACGCACACACACACCACACACATGCATGCACACACCACACACAACACACACATACACACACCATGCGCACACACACACAGCACACACAGCACACACACGCACATAGCACACACATCACACACACAGCACACACCACACACAGCACATACACACAGCACACACACGCACCACATGCACACACACATGCACACACGCACCACACGCACCACACGCACACACACCGCCCCTGCCACGTGCTTGAGGCGGGTCCAGGCCCAGGAGCTGGAGCTGAGCACGTGGCTGCTCACGAGGCCTCTTGTACACGTCACACACTCGGGGGGCCCGGAGGGAGGGCTCACCTGGCTGAGGGCTCGACACAGAGGTGGTGGACATGGCCCTCTCCTTCTGCTTGAAGATGTCCCGCGGGTGGGCGGCTTGCTGACCAGCAGACTCCTGGTGGGGGAGACAAGCGACCCCGGCAGTGAGCATCAGCCAGGGTCTCCTCGTGCCCCCGCACCCCTTCCCGACGGCAGCCCCGCAAAGCTTGGGGGGTGTCAGAAGCCCAGGGCCTTCCGCAGTCCACGCTGAAGTGCCTGCCCTCGGCTTTCCTCTCCTCCACGCCCCTGCCGCCTCTGCGGGGCCTGGGAAGCCCAGGGCAGGGGCTGCGCGGGGTGCAGACCTGGGAGCTCCCGGGCCCTCTGCGGGGGCGTCCAGGCTCACCCACTCCTCTCTGCTCCTTGAGACCACTTCCTGCTGCTGCTCAGTTGTCCTGCCGGGAAGAGCCAGTGCGGGGAGCTGAGGCGCGGCGCAGGGCGACCTCGGCCCCCCTCGGGGACGGGGAGGGGTGAGGGCGGGGCTCACCTGGGGGTGCTGGTGGCCTGCTGCTGCTCCTGATAGTACTGCTCCCGGCGGGCGGCTTCCCGCAGCTCCCGCTCCCTGCGCTCCTGCTCCAGCCGCTGGCGCTCCTCCTCGGCCCGCCGCTTCTCCTCCAGCCGCCGGCTCTCCTCCTCCTTCTGCAGGGAGGCCCGCCTGCTCAGCCCTGCTCGGGCCGGCCCCGCGGAGGCAGGAGGGTGTGCCAGGGCCCGTCCCCAGCAGGCCCTCAGTCTGACCACCTGTCAGCGGTGCTTCCCCGAGGGGAACCGAGACACGGCAGCAGCACTCACCTCGGCTTGGGCCCAGAAGCTGTCCTTGCCAACCCTCTTGATCTCAGACACGGCGTTGGTCTTCTGGTACACGGAGCCCTGGGGGGCAGGGAGTGCGCTGGGACCTGGGCCTCGGAGTAGGCCCACCAGGCCGGAGAGAGGACAGCCAGCACCACTAGGCCCAAACACCAAGATGGCCGGAAAGAGGCCCAGCAAGCTGCCTGCCCCACAGCGCCCCTGCAGCCCCCAGGGGCCTGGGCGGCTGCTCTGCCCCGCGAGTGACCGGCCCGGCAGTGCGCAGGGGCCAGCACAGATCCCAGGGCTGAGGACGTGGCTCTGGCTGTCAGCTCTGCCTGTCACAGGGCTAAGGTCCAGGAGTCTCCCCACCACTCACAAGTGTCCACTCTGGTTTTGGACTTTGTCCTGACACCACAGGAAGTTTCTCCGTGGTGGCTGCTACCAGGAGCCACGTGGGGTAGGGCACTGTGGCCCGAGGGGGTCTGTCTGTCAGAGCTTCCACCTTGACCCCCCAGAGCCGGCTCCAGGGCTGCAGGCCCACGGCAGGCAGGGTCAGTGCCCAGCAGGGCTTCGGAGTTTCCATCCACAGAAGCCAAGCGAGGCCTGGCCACCGGGACCTCCCCCCCACAATAAAGGGTCCGGGCTGGGGGCAGCACTCACCACCGGGGCCTGGGGCCCCGCGTCCTGGAAGCGGCCACTTTCCTTGTGGAAGCTGTAGTTGGCCCCCGAGGCCTTGGCCACCTTCTGCATGATGCACTCGGGCTCCACGTCCTCCTCGGCCCGCGCGTTGATGGTCACGTGGGCACCCTGGGAGGAAGCAGCACTTGAGCGACAGGCGCCGTACGCGGAGGCGAGGGCGGGCCCAGCTCCTACAGGCCACTGCTGCACGTGGACGGAGGGGCCCATCTGGCCGCTGGGAACTAAGGCATGTGCTCCCCTGGAGGCTCAAACCCTGGGCACCTGTCCCGCTGTGTGGACGCGGGACAGTCCCTGCTGTTGCTCAGTGGCTGCCCAGGCACGCAAGGCCCGCCTTCCGTCAGCGGCAGCCAGCTGTGACGCCATCTGGAGACAAAGCGAGCCTGCTTCCCCCGAGAAGCCGGGCCTGTGCGTCAGTCACTGCTGCTCTAGACCAGCAGCCCGGCGTCCTCTCAGCTCCCGCGTGGGAACGGCAACTCTCAAGTGTTGGCAGAGCCAGAATCAAAGCCCCCATGTCTCCTTGCCAGCAACAAAGGCACACACAGTCACCTGCCAAGGAGCCACGGCCACTGACGCAAACGCTTTGAAATGTAAGCACGCGTGCACTCACTGCCGGGGAGAACCGTCTGGTCGCGGCCCATGGCCAGAGGAATGGCCGTAGTGCAGGCGCCCAGGGGCCTGG